AACGAGATCACCGAACCCCGTCCATATGTGGGAGTCAGCCATTTCGCGATACTACGTCGAAGTGGTTCGTAGCCAGCGTCTGGTCCATAAATCAGTGAAGCTGCAGTCTTGGCTTTCGAATTGAGTACGTCGGTCGCGCCATCGAGCAGTTGAGCTGAAGGGAACAGAGTCGGCGATGGCCACCCCAACTGTAGGTTGATGCTTCCCGTCATGGTAGATAGTTTCGGATGCAACGATGACCATGATCCTCACAGCCAAACTATATCAGAGCGGCTATGAATGGTATCCAATTCACTCTGCGCCTTCGGCACGCGCGTCGCGAGGCCATGCCCGTGAGCACGCAAATGGTTAGCATGGCGTGGAGAACGTATATTGGATCCCTGTCGTTCTATCGGACTCTGAGGTCCGATAGAAAGGAGTGTCGGGTGTCAGTGTGAGGGGTTCATTCATGCCGCGCTAGTCATGCCTAGCGTGTCACTTTGGAAGGGATCGGCAATGGCGCGTCATCCGCGTCCTGTGTCGGCATCCCAATCTACTCCACCCTCAACGTGACGCGATAGGCATCGCGAGCCCGCCATGCGATGGGTTCGGAGCGATATGGCCTGCGGCTTTGGCATAGCTGCCGCCAATGGCACGCAACAAGTGGCGGCTAATCAAGCGGCCGCTGCTTGGTATCTTCAAGCCCTGTTCTCTCGACACTGACACCGTCGCAACTCACTCGAGTCCTCGAATCCATCGAAGGAAGCAGAGGTTGCTCATTACTCAAACTCACCATTAGCTGTTTCCTGGCCGCTTTTCTCCACGAATCTCCCACCAAAGATGCCATTCGTTGAGCAGCCGCTACAAGGTGCAGGCATTCGCATTGCCATTGATCGTGGTGGTACTTTCACCGACTGCCTGGGCATTGTTCCGGGGGAACCAGATATACTAGTCAAACTTCTGAGCAATGATCCGACGAACTATTCTGACGCGCCTACCGAGGGCATCCGCAGAATACTCGAACAGGCTACAGGCGTATCGATACCACGCGGCGAGAAGATCGACACGAGTGACATTGAGTCGATAAAGATGGGAACGACAGTGGCTACGAATGCCTTGTTGGAACGAAATTCCACGAAGTGCGCGCTGGTCGTTACCAAGGGTTTCAGAGATTTGCTCCGCATAGGTGATCAAACAAGACCAAAATTGTTTGATCTTAACATTAGGAGGCCAGAGACTCTCTTCGATGATGTGCTGGAGATCGACGAGCGCGTTACACTTCACGATTCGACCGAAGACAAATCAACGCTTAGAGACCCAAAGCGCGACTCTCATGATCTGGAGAAGGGTGTTGGTGGGGAAGCTATTCGCGTGTTGCGACCACTTGGTTAGTCCTACATCCAGACGCAATGTTCGCGCTAACATCATCATAGATCGCAACCACGCCCGTGAGGGTCTACAAAGTTTGTTCGACAAAGGCGTGCGGTCTTTAGCTATAACGCTTATCAATAGCTACACTTTCCCAAACCACGAGCTTCAAGTTGCCGACATTGCCAAAGAGATTGGCTTCACACAGATATCTGTATCGTCACAAATCTTTCCTATGATTAGAGCGATATCGAGAGGCTATTCGGCAACAGCAGATGCATACCTCACGCCTTTGACGCGTAGTTACATCGATGGCTTTCGTGAAGGATTCATAGGCGGTCTCGAAGACTCTCGTGGTGCTCGTTGCGAGTTTATGCAGAGTGACGGCGGTCTAGTGGGATGGCAACATTTCAGCGGTCTCAAAGCCATCCTATCCGGTCCGGCTGGGGGTGTTGTTGGCTTTAGCAAGACGTGCTTCGACACCAAACGGAAAAAGCCGGTAATAGGTTTTGACAGTAAGTCTATGGGATTCTTCAAACGCGAAATACATGTTAACACTGACACAGTGGGCGGAACTAGCACTGATGTTTCCCGGTATGCGGGGACTTTGGAGCACACGTTCGAGTCGATCACAGCGGGTGTGACAATCCAATCACCACAACTTGAAATTGATACTGTAGCTGCTGGTATGTGATATCCCTGATACTCGACCGCGAGTTGCCATTAACATTCTCAGGCGGCGGAAGTATTCTTTCCTATCGTAACGGCCTCTTTCTGGCAGGCCCCGAATCAGCGAGCGCACATCCCGGACCAGCGGCATATCGTAAAGGTGGACCCTTGACAGTTACAGATGCGAATCTTGTGCTGGGACGTCTACAAGTCGAGTATTTCCCGAAGATCTTTGGCAAGCACGAGAACGAGCCGCTAGACTATGAAGGCGCCAAGAGAGCCTTTGAAGAGCTACTTGTTACCGTCAACCGCGATCTGTCTCAGACCACTGGGAAAACGAAGACCGTTGAAGAACTTGCTCTCGGCTTCTTGGAAGTTGCGAACGAGACGATGTGCCGGCCCATTCGTTCGCTCACTGAAGCCAAGGGCCACCGGACATCCGATCATGATCTTGCAGTCTTTGGCGGTGCGGGTGGACAGGCTGCCTGTGCTATTGCAGCTAACCTAGGAATCGACCGCATCTTGGTTCATCGCTATTCATCCGTCTTATCGGCGTACGGTATGGCGTTGGCAGATGTCGTTCGTGATGTTCAAGAACCATGCTCAGCACTACTCCAATCCTCTCTTGATGAACTTGACGAAAGGCTGTCGTCACTCGAGAAGAACGCAGCTGAGCAGTTGGCCAACGACGGATTCTCTGGCCAAACAATCGGCTTCGAGCACTTCCTGAACCTTCGCTACGAAGGTTCTGACACCACCTTCATGGTCTCGCGCCCTGATCAGGGATCGTGGGACGAAGCTTTCGTAGCAGAGCACAAACGTCAATTTTCTTTCGTTATGCCTGGACGAGACATCCTCGTTGAGAATGTACGAGTGCGAGCCACAGCTCGGAGCCCATCAGTCGAGCCTGAGTTCGTCTTGGAAGAACAACTCACTGGATGTTCCCCGTCCCCAGTGTCTACTAAGAAGATTTCGGATCACGTTCCTGTCTTCTTCGAAAATCGCTGGACTACCTCCCCTTTGTACCACTTGACAAAGCTGGCCAAGGGTGATGTTGTAGATGGACCTGCTATCATTCTGGACAACACACAAACCATCGTCGTCGCCCCGCGCTCAAAGGCAACTATTCTAGAGCGCCACGTAATGATTGAGCTCGAACGTACAACTTCATTGACCAGCACTGAGGTAGTTGCACCACGAACTGTTGATCCTGTGGAACTCTCTGTCATGGCTCACCGTTTCATGAGTATCGCTGAACAGATGGGCCTCGCACTTCAAAAGACAAGCGTTTCGGTCAACATCAAGGAACGCCTTGACTTCAGCTGTGCACTTTTCAGTACTGAGGGCCGCCTTGTAGCTAATGCCCCACATGTGCCAGTGCATCTTGGCTCAATGGAGCAGGCGGTCATGTACCAGCACAAGAAGTACTTGGGCCAACTTCGACCAGGTGACGTTATCGTCGCTAACCATCCAATCTCCGGCGGCACACACCTTCCTGATATCACTTGCGTAACACCTGTCTTCGACCATGCGGGAGAGACTATCATATTCTACACCGCTTCAAGAGGTCATCATCAAGAAATTGGTGGAATACTTCCAGGCTCAATGCCAGCTGGCAGCGTTGAGCTACACGAAGAAGGCGCTATGATAGTCTCAGAGTATCTTGTTCGCGATGGAGTCTTCGACGAAGAGCTAGTTACAAAAGTGCTACTCCATGATCCAGCACAATACGCAGGATGCTCAGGAACACGTAAGCTAGCCGATAATATCAACGACCTCAAAGCACAGGTATCAGCCAACGCCAAGGGTGCCGCACTGGTAGCCGATCTCATCGCTGAAAGAGGTCTCGCCATTGTACATCTCAACATGCATGCCATCACCTCGAACGCCGAGTCGTGTGTGCGGGAATTCATGAAGCGTACTTATCATGAAACTGGCGGTAAGATCCTGACCGCACTCGACTACATGGATGACGGCACCCCCATAAAACTCGCCATAACCATTAACCCAGACGACGGGTCTGCCCACTTCGACTTCACTGGAACAGGCGAAGAAGGCTACCACAGTTTCAACGCTCCACAAGCAATTGCCAGATCTGCAACACTTTACGTGCTCCGTTGCCTCATTAATCAAGACATTCCGCTCAACGAAGGCTGCCTCCGCCCTCTCACGTTCACAATCCCAGAAGGAAGTATCCTCAATCCCTCACCATATGCCTCAGTATGCGCTGGAAATCCTATCACATCTCAACGCGTAACAGACGTCGTGATCCGCGCCTTCGAAGCATGTGCCGCAAGCCAAGGTGACTGCAACGTCTTCTCCTTTGGCATAAACGGTGACAATGATGACACTGGCAACCCTATTCCAAACTCCGGTTTCGGCTTCGGAGAAACGATATGCGGAGGTAGTGGCGCGGGACCTGGCTGGCACGGAACTTCCGGAGTACATATTCATATGACGAACACCCGTATCACGGACCCAGAACTACTGGAGAAGAGGTATCCTGTGCTTCTTCGCGAGTTTAGTATACGGGATGGGTCAGGTGGCAAAGGGCGTTGGAGTGGTGGGAACGGTATCCGGAGGGTGTACGAGTTTTACCGTGATATGAACGCGAGTATCGTCAGTGAAAGGCGGGTTACTAGACCTTATGGCATGTTGGGTGGGGAGGACGGAAGTAGTGGAGTGAACTACATCGTCAAGAAAGTCGGTGGGAGGTGGTGTAGGTTAGGTGGACGTAAGGATTTTGCTGTACAGAAGGGCGATTGCTTTGTGATCGACACACCTGGTGGAGGGGGATGGGGAACAAAGGATGAAACGAAGACAGATACGGATGAATTACAAAGTGCGAAAAGGTCGGCGGTAGAGCGGAGGTTTGTCAGTCAGTTCCAGTTGGCGCAGGAAGCCAGCAACTAGACTTGGCGGACTTCCCTATATCTTAACCTAGTTTAATCCTTTTCGAATTCGTCGTAATCTATTCCTTTGTTTCACCACGCGCCCTCCCTTGCCAGGATATCCCACCCTACGAGTCGCCAAACCTCCTCCTTGTACCATGTCTGCACATCTTTGTCGTCGACTTTGGCCACGTTTTGCATGGAACCAAGTCGCATAGCTGGAACGGGCTTTGTGAGGACATCCAGGAACTCGTCGTTGGTGTTGTTCCCATACATGCACGCAACAAGTGTTCGTTGCAAGCGGTCTCTTGCCAGAGGGCTCAAGCGCGCCCTGGTGCTCGTCACAGGAGTTTTGGTGCTCATTGTACGGGCGGGTCGATTAGATGCCGAGCTAGGGCGAGCGTTCTGGGGGTTCATGTGGTTTGGAGCTAAACCCATCGCTCGTTCAAGAATCAATACGAGGGCCTTCACTTCAAGACGGGTTGCTAGGGCGTCACTATCCAGTCTTGTCGACTCAGCAGCATCTCTCGGCTCGGGCGGTGGCAAGATGTTACCTTCGATAGAAGTACTGCGATGCTGTCCGAACGTAAGATAATACAACCTCTTTCCCACGCGTTCGAATAGGACGAAGACGAAGCCATCGAAGATCTTTTGATGCACAGGATCAGTTTTCTCGAGGAATCCGAGAAAGCTGATTAACAAGTGAGCAACTGCTCTAGCCGGAGCGGACTCTCTCACGACCGGAGGCGGCGCTTTCGTCTTCGTCTTATTTATTGAAGAGGGTGGCGACAAGGAAGTCTCCGCTGTACGTCGAGCTGATATCTCGATCGATTGCAACGCGGCCTTGAACATTCCGGCTACCTCACAGACGACCAGACTATCAAGTCGCACATCGGCTTTGCACTCCACGAGCTTATTTGTACCAACGAGTAGCGACATGAAAGCTCTAGCACAGACAGATAGGGCAACAGCGAAGTCAGATTTGTCCTTATCGAACGACATGGCTTCAGCGCTTCTCCGCCCTTGACGAGAGAGCAGCTCGTGGTTCTGAGCGACAATGAGTATGACCTTGCCAATGCCTGAAGCGATTTGTACAAGATTGAAGCAGAGAACCTCAGTGTCAGGCTCGTCGGACCGGCACAATGAGTGCGTAGTGTATAAAGCCTCCATGAGTTTGGAACCATCCCTGCCGAGCACTTCCAAGAAATCCAGGTCATTATCGATGGTTTCTTGAGCAGCGGCCGTTGGTGATTGCTTTTGTGCTTGTCTCGACGGCTTGGATCTCGTGGGTGACGCTGATGGTGCTTTACGCTTGGTGGTGTAGGCAGCTGCATCAACATCCAAGACGGGACCGGACAGGCTCGACAGTAAGTGGTTCGATCTTTCGAGCTTAATGTTGACACTTCGAAGTTTCTCACATTCATCTTCGGCCTTTTGACATCGATTCTTCCAGTAGGCGACTTCGTCAACATAGCATGTAGGATTTTCTCGCTCTCTGGGGCTGAGACCGGGCTTAGTCTGTGCACGTAGCTGTAGAACGTAGTCTAACAATATCAGAAACTGTGGATTTTCTTCGAAGGTTTGACTGTACCTCGTACTTGCATCCCGGCTGGTTTGGTCCGAACAATGGCAAGAGCAAGTGCCATCTGTTGCTCAGACGGAAGGAAGGGCGGGCGCGAGACCGTGTTCTGCGTCATGACGATGGTGATGCTCAAAGGAAGTCAAACGTCGACGAAAAAAATTGTACACAGTGGTTGCTATGACATAGGAAAGAAAGGTAAGGAGAGGAAGATGAGGCAGATTGACGGAAAATAGAAGTGACGACCTTGAGAGGTGAGATGACGAGAGCAGGAAGGAGACAACCCCCGCGACTGCGAATGGAAAGAACGAATGTCACTCCGAGCAATCTCTCTGTCACTGTCTTCGATCCTGGATGATATTGGAGGAACCACAGTGAGAGTCCATGCCGTTCGTCTCGAGCTGAATGCAGTCGCTTTCGTTGCTGTGGTATATTACCTCTGCTACACTCGGCCGTGCGACGCTCGCAGAGTCCACGCTCGCAGAGTCCAAGCACGACAGATCGAAGCTGCAGCTGTGTTCATCTTGTATTGTACATATGGCTTACATGACTAATACATCCACTATATGCGTCTCTTGTGCCCTCAGCGCATGCGCTCCGTTCGCCTCTTGTAAGGCAGCGGCTCGACCCTCTTCCTCTTGAACTCTACAGCGATCTGGTCCTTCAGACCTGCGCGCTCCATGACACCAGCCATGCTATCGTCCCACTTTGTCCTGAACAGCGTAGCTGTGATTGCGCTCAACTTGTTCGAATCAGCAAAGCTGCGGAGATTGAACCCCATACGCTGAGTCTTGTTGAACTTGGTGACATCGAGCGCCTTGCCTTCGTTTTGCTCAAAGACAAAAATGCCTAAGCGATGGTATGGCGCACCCTTGTGAGCCCAGGGAGCAACCCAGGGTAGCGCAATCTTCTTGGCACTGAGATCTTCAGTTTTCTGATCTTCTTGAGCGATGCGCTGAAGAGGTATCGAAGTGTTGCTTGGCGAGATTGATATGTTGGAGGCGATGAGGTGGCATCGGTAAGTGAAGCCGTCCTTTTCTGTGACTGGCACATCTGCGTCTACTACTACCACAGTAACCAGCTTCTCACCAGGGGTGAAGGTCTGAACGTTGAGACGAGGCATCTTCTCACTGATGGCAGAATCCACGAAGTCTCCGGGCGCCACCGGCTTTCGTCCGAAACCGAGGTCAATGTCTGCTACCAAATCCAGAGAGGGGAGAAGGTCGGGAACGATAGCAAGTTGTGTGATACGTTGTTCCAGCACACGGCGCTTGAACTGGCGCCACTTCTTTTCGGCAAGATGGCGGTAGATGGGCTTGTTCATGTTACCTTCACAAGTCAGTCAAGTTGGTAGCATTTAAATTGACACGACCTACCCAGTCCGTCCTCAAACTTCCGCTTCACAACCGGGTCGTTGATGTCGGCCAGGATAATTAGGTCTTGAAGATGCTGCTTCATGCTCCGCAGTCTATTCTCCTTGGCTGCTGGGCCTCCACTGGTGCTTGGATCTTGGGCCATCAGGTTCTTTATCCGCAATTGCTGGGTCTCGATTTCCTTGATCTTTTCCTGCCTGTCCTCCAACAAGACCTTTCTCGCCTCCTGGAAACATTGGTACGGCAATTGTTCGAAAGGAACCTCATCGGCCTTCTGCATGGTCGATCGACGAAGAACAGCACGGCGACGACGGGATCCAACGGGTTGGACATGTTCTCTCCGTAACAGTCGGCGTTCCTGCTTCTTGTTCTCAACCATCTGAGGGTCTAGAGTACCCCATTTCTGCATGTATTCTGGGGTTTCTTGAGAGCCAGCCTTCTGGGCAACGCCTTCCGGTGGGTTCGAGGGCGGTGGTGGTGGTGTCGCATTCGTGGGTTGTGTCTGCACCTCTTCACGAGCTACGACCGAGGTGGAGAGGAGGCGACGGGTGCCATTGGCGGCTGGCAATTGTCGCACGCATCGTAGACATGCGCTGAATTGGCGCAGTGTTGGCGTGGAGGCCATGGTGTTGATGGCTTGGACGGTGTTCAAGAACGATGGTGCCCGCTGGAAAATGTGGTGATCCTCACGTTAGCGCTTTTCGTAGACCTCCGCCTCCAACTCCGACGACTTCAACAGTTGAACCACCCCGACCGGCATGGCTTCCACGAGGATATCCGCGCCCATGCGTGGCGTCACACATCAATTGAGAAGTCTGTCGATACGGCCGAATGCGCTGTGTACGCGCTGCGCCGTATGTTGTTTCGCCGTCATTCTATGCGACATGCTAACGTCGTTAAGAAATCTCTATGCACGCCCACCAGCCGCTCAATAACCACATCTGCCCCCTCCAAGGCCACGCTATCGTCGATAAATGCCAAAGCCCATGACTCCGGATATGTACCTGTTAAGCCTTTTGAGCAGCAGACAGTCCTCGCGACTATCCACCAATTCCCTTCTCTGGAACCGCTCCGATTCGAACAATACCCTGCAAATCACCTATACCTGCCCACCCGACGAGACATACTACACCGCGCTGTCATCTACGAAGGAGATAGTACCCGGTTGGGTACTGCTTCGACAAAGACAAGATATGAAGTACGAGGTTCAGCAAGAAAGATTCGGCCGCAGAAGGGAACCGGTCGCGCTCGTCTGGGAGACAAGAAGTCGCCCATGCTGAAAGGTGGAGGTGTCGCTCATGGCCCCAAGCCCCGCGACTTCGCGACTGAACTGCCTAAGAAGGTTTACGACCTCGCATGGCGGACAGCACTCTCGTACCGGTTCAGGAAGGGCGAACTGATCATTGTGGACAACGCGATGGAGATTGAAAGCCCGTCAACAAAGTTACTGAGTGATATCCTCAAGTACCACGAAAAGCTACACGGTAGGGGCAGGAGTTTGATGGTCACGTTGGAAGAGCGACCGTTATTGGAGCAGGCGTTGGTAGAGATGGATCGTGGTGAACAAACGCTCACATGGGAGGAAGTCGACGTCAAAAACCTCCTCGAACTGTCGCGCGTCATCATCGAGCGTGACGCATTGCACAACATCCTCCTTGCTCATGAGGAGGATATCACACACAAGGCCATCACGCCCTGGCACAAGAGCCTTGTCCGATCATCGCCACCCACCGAGCTCGAATCGACCATCGGCTGGGAAGAATTCCGCGAACTCTCCCTCTCCGACCCTAAAGAGAAAGATGTCATGCGCGCTGGAGTCTACGAAAATGTGGCAGGTACGCGCTACGCCTACGCTGAATCTCTGCCTCAAGGACCCAAACGTTCCGAACTCACGATATCCGCCTACAACCTCCTTTCCGAAGCCAAGGAACTGCAATTCGCCGAGAAGACCGGCCGTTCTTTCAACGACTATCTCATCTCCCCAGAGAGTGACGAGTGGCCTCGCATCCAGACTATAAATTACCAGATCAACACGAAACATGACCTTGCTGGCAGAGCTTTGAACACCAACAGACTGGAATCTGAAGAGATTATGGCCGAGTTGGGGGAGCTTCAAGTACGGAAGGCAGAAGTAGAGTATGAGGCGGCGTTACTCGCAGCGCAAATTCACGAGCACCGCTCTGAAGCTTTGCGTTTGACTGGGTATGAAGCGAGAGCTGAAGAACAGTTGGAATTGGCTAGCGGCGAAAGGACCAATGTCGACAATGCAGAACTACTACTTTTGGAGTCTAGGCTCGAATTCGCCAAGCAGAAGAATGTCGTTGCCACTCTCAAGGGCCACTTCGCTGGCCAGCAGAAGACGAGGGAAGAGGTTAGGCTTTGTGAGGAGAAGCTCCAGGCCAAGAGTGCGGAAATAGCGGCTGACATGGCCGAACGCGAGACGATCGAGGGTGAGGACGTGCAGGAGGTGGATGTTGCGACTGGAGTTGAGACAAAGGCTGAGCCGGCCAAGGAAGTGAAGAAGTTATGAAGTTTTTGATATGTGATATTATACAATGTATCTATAGATGTTCATGAATCGTTACACCACGTGTGATATTGTATGTTGTACAGTATGCTACATGCAAGGGAACTATTCACGTTCCTTCTTCCTTCCCCATCTTCGCTTCTTTCGTATTGAGTTGAGCTGTCCGCGGCTCGGCATTTTGCTCGTGCACCTGCGGTACTTTTTCTGAAGGTTCGTTCATCCAGATCACGTTGGACCATCCTCACGCCTCTGCATCTTTCGACTTGTTCTCCTTCTCAATCTTCTTACCCTCGTATGTAACCTTCAGGATACCTCCAACCTGTCCCTCGCGCTTAGTCTCTCGCGAACCCTTGCACTCTTCCACCGCTTCGTCAATGGCCTTCATTACCGCATCCGCCTCTTCCAGCGTCGCTTTCCTACCAGCCTTCTTCGGCCCAAGCATAACCTCCACTTTGCGCCCTTCCTTCAGGAACTTCTTCATGGCAGCCAGTCTATGCTTCAGATCCCCCGGCGCAATTGCCCAATTCAACTCCAACGTTTTTGAAGAAAGTCCTGACCCCGCACTCAGTCCCTTGGCTTGCCGTCGCATTGTGTCCAGTTTCTTTTGGTGTTGGGCGCGTAGGTTAATTTTGGAAATAACGCGGCATGTCGGCAAGCTCTCTGGATCTAGGAAGCCATCTTGATCGTACTTCCCAGGTACCATTTGTACAACGTGATGGGTGACTTTGTTTATGCTTGACAGCGCCTCCTGCAGAGGGACGTTCTTGTGAATGGCACCCTCTTCGTCGACGAGGTTTATAAAGTCAGCTTCGATGGCTTTGTCGATGACGTAGTAGTCTGAGATGGCATGGCGGCGGGTATCTTTTGTGTATTTTATCCCGCGGGTTGTTGTTCGGCTCGTGAGACTGGGCGTGGACGAGGAGAGAGAGTTCGGAGACGAAGTTGGCGCAAAAGCTGGGGCGTAGAGGAGTGGGATTGATGTCGTGTTGCGCAGATTCGGAGCGATGAAGACACGGTAGAGGGCACGAGAGGTACCGGAGATATGGTGCGTAGGCGGCATGCTGGACGATTGTGTGTAAGTTGTGGGAAACGAGTGAACGGAAGTGAAGAAGTTTGAGTAGTGACGTGGGATAGCTGGAGATGGAACTTTCCTGTCGGCGCTAGCAGGGGTAGAGTCGAATCGGAGCAGTGACGACCTCCGCACCCGCAATCGTCCATGGTGCCCACCTTCAGCCTACTCCCACGTAGCACACCACCATGATAGCGATAGAGACGGCTCGTATCTCCCTTGATCTCTCGCGACCCTACCTGCCGCCATGAGTGATCCCCTGGCGGAATATTTGTCTGCACTCGATGCGCGTGACGCAAGGGAGAAGGCGCATGAGGAGTACGTGAACGCCTGTAAGTTGCAGAGTGGAGTGCGCGATGTCACGGAATCATGCTCAGATGTCTAGATACCAAGCTCGCCGATAACACGGCACAGTTTGCGAACCAGACACCCTCCGCGGAAGAGTCAGCCCCCGCGGCCAGCGCATCAAAGGGCAAAGGACCAGCAACGACCGATGTCTCCTCGCCATCTGCTATCGCGCAACTTCGCTCCGAATTAGCCGTCACTCAGCGCACGCGGGGTGATCTAGAAAGTCAACTGAGCGCCCTTACTGCCGAGCTGAGCACCCTCAAGGCCTCAGACACGCAACAAAAGCAGCGCATAGAACAGCTCGAAAAGGTCCGGACACAACTGGAGAGGCGAAGCAAGGATAGAACGGAGGAGCTCAAGGGCAAGGGGAGGCTTGTGGAGGAGGTACACGACGAAATGGTTGCGCTGAACCTACAGCTGAACATGGCGGAGCAGGAGAAGGAGAAATTGCGCAAAGAGAATGAAGAGTTGACTAAGAGGTGGGTCAAGAAGATGGAGGAAGAGGCACGGAAGATGAATGAAAGGTCAGGGTGGGAAGACCAGTCACGGAGGAAGAAGTAGAGACAAGACAAACTTTTTGATCTCGCTGTGTTTTAGGCTGTTGACAGTAAATCATAACATGGCTGTATTTGCAGTGTCTTGAATTACACTCGACTTCACTTTCCTAGGACTGCCGGCTTGCTCGCTGATGCCTTGTATGTCTTGGCGCTAGAGCTCCCCGCAATAAGCATACAGCTCCCGCCTTGCCTCCCCACCAAACAGCATCAAACTCACCCAAACAATCTCGACACCGTCTTCAATCATGGGGACCGCTTTGAAGACGTGGGGTAAGTCTGATCCCTCGTTTAACCCATGTCCCATCCATCACAATACCATGATACCCCGCTTGCCGTTGCATGCTAATAAACATCCCAGAGCTGGAGAACTCCGTCAAGCTTGTAGATCCCCAGAAGGACGCCCTCTACAATTATTCCTCCTCGGAGCAGAAAGCCATCAACAACGCGCATCCATGGCGAACCGACCCCAACTACTTCACGTCTGTCCGCATTTCGGCCATCGCCCTCCTCAAGATGGTCATGCACGCGCGATCCGGCGGCTCAATCGAAGTCATGGGCCTGATGCTAGGCAAGATTGAAGCACACACATTCGTCGTGACCGACGCATTCCGGTTACCAGTCGAGGGTACAGAGACACGAGTCAATGCACAAGACGAGGCAAACGAGTACATGGTAGAGTTTCTACAGCGCGCACGAGAACAGGGACAGATGGAGAACGCCGTCGGCTGGTACCACTCACATCCTGGCTACGGCTGCTGGCTCTCGGGCATCGACGTCAACACACAGAAGACTCAACAACAGTTCCAAGACCCCTTCTGCGCCATCGTCATCGATCCCGACCGAACTGTCTCTGCGGGCAAAGTCGAGATCGGTGCCTTCCGTACCTATTCAACAGAGTACGTCGAGAATCAGGCCAAGGCAGGTGGCGGCTCCAAAAACACAAGTGGCGCTGAGAGCGACGGCTTCGAAACCATTCCGCTCGGCAAGATTGAGGACTTTGGCGCACACGCCAACCACTACTACCCCCTCGAAGTCTCGCACTACAAGTCTTCACTCGATGCTAAGCTACTAGAAGCGCTGTGGAACAAGTACTGGGTACAAACGCTGTCATCCTCTCCTCTCATCTCCAACCGCGATTACGGCACCAAACAGATTTCAGACCTCGCCCGTAAAATGCAGCAAGAGAACAACAGCAGCAAGCGCTTCAAAGGCGGAGCAGGTTACGCGACGAACAGCGAGAGTAAGAACCAGTTGACCAAGCTGGGTGCGGCTGGGAGCAAGATTGCGCGTGAAGAAGATATGGGCCTGCTGGCTGCAAACGTCAAAGATAAGGTCTTCAACCTTGCGAACGGACAGGAGGTCAAGAGTCAGGAGGTCGAGATGGAGACTTCCTAGGTGTACGATGAAGTATCGTGGATAGCATGGTATGGCGTTCAGGGTGTGTAGGGCGTACATCGGATAGATCATGGGATGGGATACCACACGAAATGAATCGAACAAAATTGATCTGTATGTTCGTGATCTATACTCTCTATGCTATTGTTACATTCATCTGTCTGCCTTGCACATACTATCATACATCACACTAATTATTGATCAGCAACCCCAACCGTTTGAGCGTCTCAGTCCTCCCAAGAATTGTGAAAATGTCATACAACCGCATCCCCTGCTCCTGCCCAGTAATCGTCTTCCTCAAGTAGTGATACACATCCTTGCTTCCCTTCTTGCCTTCCGTTCTACCGTCAATGATCTTGTGCACCTTCTGCATCAGATTTTCCTTATTCCAATCTTCCTCTTCAATGTCTGCCAACATTTGCGCGCGCATGGGTATGTCGGATGTAGTTGACATGGGCGGTTGCTTGTCGAACGGACGGATGGGTGTGAAAAAGAAGGAGTTGCGGTACAGAAACTCGTTTGCGTTTGTGTAGTTTTCTGCGTCGGCAAGGATGATGGAGCGGATGTAGGATTCGGGGAAGGGCGTGCCAATGATGGACTGCCAGTCTTGATAGGGACTGTCTTCTGAAGTGAGGAGTCTGGAGACGTTGCGAACCAGTTCTTCGAGTTTGGGTCCGCCGACAGAAGCACGTTGCAGGGCATGTTTGCGCTGGAGGAATTGCATTTTACCGAATGTCACTGTGGTGTTGCCCTTTGTGAACTTCAAACTGAATTTCTCGATCAATGTCTTCAGGTCCATGACATCGCTCTTTTCCTTGTGGCTCCATCCTAGCAACGCAGCGAAGTTTGTTAGGGTCTCAGGGAAGATTTCCATCTCCTTGAATGCAGTGATGTCGGTGTCGAAGTTTCGCTTGCTGAGCTTGTTGCTGTTCTCGTCGACGAGGAGGCCGACGTGGGCAAATTCGGGAGGTGTCCAGCCGAATGCTTGGTACATGGCGATGTGCTTCGGGGTGCTGGGCATCCATTCGCTTCCTCGTATTACGTGAGTGATCTTCATGAGGTGGTCGTCTACCACGTTCGCGAGGTGGTATGTAGGGAGGCCGTCAGATTTCAACAAGATGGGGTCTTCGTAGGCAGATTCGGTGACATGGCCGCGTCTCTTGAGGGGTCGGAAGGTGCCATAGATGAGGTCCTTGTATGTCGGGTATTGATCTGGTACCCTGAGGCGTACGGTGTGCGATTCCCCCTTGGATGCTCTGTCGTCACTCTCTTCTTTGGATATAGCGGGTGGGGCGCATGTGCGGTCGTAGTCCGTTGCGATGCCCAGCTTGTGTCTGTGTTCGGCCAAGGCGTTCAAGCGCTCGGAAGAACAGAAGCAGCGGTATGCATGTCCTGATTCCAGAAGTTTGTGCGCGTATTCTCTGTATATCGCACTCCGCTCTGACTGTTTGTACGGCCCATACGGACCCCCGACCTCTGGCCCTTCATCCCATTGCAGTCCCGCCCATCGTAAGTCGTCGAAGAGTCGTTGTTCGGCGTCTGGTATCGTGCGCTTTTGGTCTGTGTCTTCTATCCGTAGCAGAAATTGGCCACCCGTTCGTTTCGCGAGGAGGTAATTGAACAGCGCCGTCCGCAGTGATCCAAGATGTAGGTAGCCTGTCGGCGAAGGCGCAAAACGCGTCCGTGCGGGAGATGTTGGTACGGCAGTATTAGCCTTGTCCTTTCCTTCTTTAGCGAGCTGAGGATTTCCTTTAGAGGTGATTGAGCGGTGCGAGGATCGCGAAAGGCGGACGAGACATGACCGGCATGTGTAGGTGGATAATTGTGGGCGGACAAGTAGTGAAAACGACATTTGGGTGTTGATGCGACGCAAAGGGTTCGAGTTCGCGGTTGAAAATGACGTGCAGGGATTCGCCCGACGTTAGTGGGGGCCGCTCCTCAGGAATTTGGCCCGCATTGCAAGTGATCGACAAATCTGGAGAAAGTTTGTTGCCTTCACTCCCACTGGACAGGACGCATTTTACTTCGTTGCGCCCGCCTTATTTCTTGTACATACTTCTAAGAGTGTGTCTTGTTCCTCACTTTCCGACTCACACCCCAAAGTAGCCCAAAAGTAGGTATTCCCAATCGACGACATCACCACTCTCTGCTAACGCCATGCCAGTGGATGAGGAAATCGATCTTTACGGTAGATACACAAGTCTAGAGACTACGAACCGCACTGACCAAAACAGAGGTCCTCGAGATCGAGAAGGGCGCGAGCAAGATCGAGATCAAGAAAGCATACCACAAGGTCCGCAGACAACAGCAGTGCATCCACGCCTCATACTGACAAACAATAGGCCGCGTTAGCACATCACCCCGACAAGGTCGCAGAAGAAGACCGTGCAGAAGCCGAGGTGCGCTTCAAGGCCGCGAAACAAGCCTACGAAATCCTCTCCGACGATGACAAGCGACATCTGTATGATACCCACGGCATGTCCGCCTTTGACCCCTCCAAGGGCGGCATGGGCGGCGAGGGCCCCGACATCGACGACATCTTTGCGCAGATGTTCGGCGGCATGGGCGGATTCGGCGGAATGCCAGGTATGGGTGGCATGGGCGGCATGCCCGGTGGACGAAACGTGCCACGGAAGGGACGCTCAGTAGAGCAGGAGTACGAGGTCAGCTTGGAAGAGCTGTACAAGGGCAAGACGACAAAGTTCTCAAACACAAAGAACATCATCTGTAACCTGTGCGAAGGCAGCGGTGGAAAGAAGGGCGCAAAGGCAAATTCTTGTGCTTCCTGTGGTGGGCGGGGTATGTCAATTTCTCACCTTGCACTTGACGACTATACTGACTTTCCAAGGTGCTAAGCAAGTCCTCCGCCAGGTCGGTCCTGGCCTCGTCACCCAGGAAACTGTTCCTTGCGGTAACTGTCAAGGCTCTGGCCAAGTCATCCCAGAGAAGCAACGTTGTAAGAAGTGCAAGGGCAAGAAGGTCGTCGAGACCAAGAACGTGCTCGAACTCTACATTCCCCGCGGTGCACGACAAGGCGAGCGCATTGTACTTGCAGGAGAGGCAGATCAACTACCCGACCAGGAGCCAGGCGATATCATCTTCACGCTCACCGAGACGCCACATGATGTCTTCGAACGCGCAGGCGCTGATCTGAGGGCCGAGTTGAAGGTTAGCTTAGTGGAGGCACTAACAGGCTTCAACCGCGTGGTCATCACTCATCTCGATGGACGTGGTCTTAAGCTCAACGTGCAACAACCAAACGGCAACGTCTTGCGACCAGGACAGATCCTCAAGATCGAAGGAGAGGGTATGCCCATGAAGCGCAGCGACGCGAGGGGTGATCTCTACCTAGTTGTTGATGTTGAGTTCCCAGAGGATGGATGGTTGAAGAACGACGCCGCAGTACAGAAGCTCCGTGACGCACTACCCAAGGACGAAAAGAGCGAGGAGAAGCATGAAGAAGAGGAGGAAGTAGACGTTGAGTGGGATGCTGACATGGAAGAGTACGGCGCTGGTAGCGGTGACCCACGTGCTGGAGGCGCCGAGTGGGAAGACGATGATGAGGAGGCAGAGGGCCCTCAGTGTGCGACACAGTAAAAGGTTGCATGATACGATTGACGATTGCATGGCTCGGCGTTAGGGGGACGACGATTACATCGTATCTTGCACACGCGGAGAAGTCGCGGATATAGACCGGTTATACGCTGCATACAAGATGCTCTCATTTTTTCACATCTGCCACAGCTCTGGAGGGGAGTGGTGTTTAAAACTAAACATCGCAGGCTGGCTAATATGGCCATTGGAAGTGTGAGCAAACATGGGGAATGAGCTCTTTCGTCAATCTCCTTGGAGTGGCTGTGAGGGTCGCGCTCTCCCATTCAAGGGTGGATGAAATCCATGCATCACCAGTGCTAGGGGCTGCCCTGGCACACTTTTCGCAGCAATATCACCGGGTAAAGCCAACCACGCTTTCCTATTGTCTAATAAGCTTACTCTAACCACTCAACATACCTGGATCTCCGCCCGGGGCTGACGTACAAGCATGGGGCGGTATGATCATTATCAACGACGGGCAACATGATCGATCTTGCGACTGTTTTCCTCGTTCAAAATCATGCACGACTTTCAGATCCCATCCCTTGCTCGGAACGGTAGGCCAGCGACATTGCTTCAACATGGTGCTTGCGAGGCCTACCTCGCATTGTTGAGCTCGCAGCTATATTGGCTATTTCCGGATTTTGTTCAGAACTTACACGCGCAATCCCTGTACCAACGTGAGATGGGCAGAGTGGCAGTCATCGAGTATTTGGACGAGGTGTCAATGCCGCCGAGAATGTTCAAGAGTTCCCGAGAGCTGCAATGCTATCTTGATGAGACCGCTGATGCGAAACCGACGCATCCTTGGCGAAGACTATTCATACTTGAAGATCTGCCTGTGAATTACGTTCAAGTTCTCGGCTCACACCTACGCATTCCTCCAAGTGTTTTCGGCGCCCACTGGGCTGATCCCGCAGCTCCTTCATTCAATCACCGCAAACCTTTCCGTCGCTACTCCGAAAACAATTTCGTCATAAGGTATCCTTCTACACAACCGATTCGCATTGATGCTGATCCCGCGATTCATGGACATACTTTTAAATGCGACTTCAACATCGACCGTCATATACAATGCTATGACCCAAAAGGGCCGATCATCGACCAGCCTAAGAGCTACCATGCTTTGTCGTTCTGGACATCTGGTGCCAGGGAAGATGGTTCATGGGATTGTAAGATTCAACCCTCAGCTCTGTTCGACGCCACTGACCTCTCTGGGTAGCGGTTCTTATAGTAGATCCACCAGTTGGTGAATTGGTCAAATCTCTCTCGGAGAATGTCATGCTTGAAGTTGACTACTGTTCGGAAGATTACGCGTACTCCCGATTGCATTCACTGGATCCCGACTTCCATGACTTCACAATATTACCGTCGAACCCGGACGACTGGGATGAAGGAGAGCAGCGCCCACAGTATACTTCTATGTTTGACGACATAGTCGCAATCCAGCAAAACACGCCATCCGGAACGATTGGTCCACGTACATGCACCGACACCGCTCGCAAACTCGCGATTTGCTCGTCTCTTTCGTATGTCCGAAGGCGAATCCTAACTCTGCTACGACTGCAGACAGATCCCCTTGCAGCAAAGTCACATGTCAATCGATGGTACTATCTTCGGAATTTTGACCAAGGAGTATTGGGCAACTGGCAGCACGAGGTCTTTGGTTTCATTGTCGACGTAAAGTTTGTTATGGGCATTTTGCTCATCGAACTGAAGGAAAACCTTGAAGCTTTGGGCTTATACCGCCCCGGTAGTTCTGACGAACTGCAATGGGAGCGAGACGGGTGGCTTTCGGTACAAGACCACTGCGGCAAGATTATCGGCATTGCAGATGCGTTCTTGCAGTCCTACATGCAGTTCACCACCATGCAAGAAGCACAAGCTGCCAACAAGAATGCTTCCAATCTTGCTCACATTACCAACCTGACGATGCTGTTCATACCGCTTTCGACTATTGCAGCAATCTTCTCCATGGATGACAAGTTCTTGCCTGGGAGGACGAAAGGGTGGATCTTCTGGGTAACGGCGCTGCCTGTTTTAATCGTTACTTTTGCGATTACGACGAAGGCGCGAGCGTGGCTGAATCAATACTGGAAGATCTGCACAGCAAAGCAGAATCGAATCCACATTACGAGCAAGCATAGAGCTTAGGCAACCAGAAGACGTACACGAAGATTGGAAACCAGTTTAGGAGGCATTGGGATACAACAAAGCGATCATTGCTTCTGTCACTGAAGACTGTGAGGATACATCAAGCTTCTGCCACACTATAATCCGAGTAGTATGCATACAGATTACATTGAGAACAGTCACATCATGCTCAATACATTGACCGACCGTTCGTCGACGTCTTTTCATCCTCATTCGAATCTGTTGGAACTTGACCTTTCAGAGCAATCTTGAGCATGCCTTCTTCTCACCGGCGCATGCCTCTTACGTCAAGATATGAATCTTCATTCGCAAACGACACACGACTTCTCCGTCGCCTGTCTTCCGCAAGCTGCCCTTCTTCTGCAATGAGGTACTCGTCACCAGGCCACGTTCCAGCGTTATGTGGCCGATAGATATCCTCGCGTTCTGGTTGCCTTGGTTCATAGACTGGCCTTCCCATACCGCGTGGTAAGGCATTCGGCGCGAATTGCGATTGTCTCTGATCTTGCAACTCGTCCCTTTCGCTGAAACGTGACTGCCTTTGACCGTGCGACTCCTCTCGATTACTATAGCGCGATTGCTGCCGATAAGGTTCGTCGACATCTGCGATCTTCCTCCGGTCAGCCAATTCGACCATCTGTTCCGCTTCATGCACTGGAATTGGAAGCATGGATCCCCATTCTGCTGCCGCATCGCAGAAGTCAATGATGTCCGATCTTTCTGCTGTTCAGTTTTAGCTTCTCCATGTGATCGTTACGCCATTTTGCTTACCATCAGTCATCTCCCTCGGCCGGTCCATCTCGCGCCCTCGCCGTGCCTGCTGCATCGATGGATCCGGGTTCATCTGCATGAAGCGCACCGGGTACTTTGGTTGCTTCTTCATACGTGAAACTATATTCTGATACATCGCAAGATAGTCATCTCTTCGACTGCCTGAGATCTTCGCTAGTTTATAGTCGTTGGGGTAAGGCGCAAGGAAGTTGACAAGCCAGATGATATCGGCATCGCGACCTGGGTAGTAATCAAGGCTCAAAATCAGGCGTTCTGTAAGACGTAGCGCAAAAAGACCAATTATGAGGAATTCTGGAGCGGAAATTGGTGGAAAAGGATGGTGTGCAGGACGCAGTGGTGCGGAAGGGTTACGGGTGATATCAGGAAGTGGAGAGAGCGCGGATCTCTGTTTTTGCTGCATGCTAACAGTATCACGATAGAAGATTATGGTATAGAGGAGGCAGTATTTAGGTATCACTGGCCAGGCCTAATATGTTGGTTGCGCGCCCTTGGCGGTAAACGGCCATCGCAGCGCACTGTGTGAATGATGATCGTGAATACAGACAACCCCCATTTTCTCCGAAATCCTGGCATACTGCCGCGCTCGATTGTCTCTTGCTTTCTTTAGTTTTTGACGTCTTGTTTGTTGTTTCACTGACGTTGTGGTACTACTGTTCGCTACTTAGTCATCTTGTTCTCCCTTGCAGATCAGAATCAAGAGAGGGCTTCATGTGGGAACGAGGGAACGAGTCGCTGAAGAGCGGTACGACACGGCACCCCAGTGCGGGGTTGAAATGGCGCTATGTTTAGTGCAAGAGAGCTCGCCTTGGCCTCACCATCACCGTCTGCTAACGTTCCTCTTGTTCGATCACACATTCATCCTTTTTGGAGACCCACTGCCTTCTTTGATGGACGATCAAGGCGCGGAACCCCGAAATAGCCGTCGGTCTCGCCAGGCTTGCCTGAATTGCCGGTAAGCTCTCGCCCATTACTCTGCGTAACCACATGCGCGTCCAACATATCGGGTTCGCAAACGATCACAAATTACAAATCGTGGCGACTGAATATAGCGACATAGACGAAAGAAAGTCAAATGTGATGGCGAGCAGCCTTCGTGCAGCTTCTGCGCTCGGTTGCTTCAGAAATGCGTCTACCGCAGCCGCAGATGGACAACGACCCAAGACAGCCGCCCAACGTCAAACCATCCTCAAGACATGAACCCTAATAACGTATTTCCTTCTCGTCCTACTTTGAAGGTCGTATATTGACAGCTTCATAGAAAGGTTTGACTTCATTGGATATGAGCGGCGACCCCCAATCCGATTTCAGTTCCATGCTTGAAAGGTACCGTACCCTCATTGCTAAGCATTTTTCAGGTTGTATACTAAACTCTTTGCGCAGTATCGACGCGGCAGCTACTTCAACTTTCACAGGCAGGCAGCAGCTTCCAAATTCCAATATAAACGATGCGTCGATCAATGCTCATAGTCTCGAACCGCAGATGCCTCCATCTCACATCCTATCATCAACTATCGAGTTATTTTTTCATCATTGGCACGGTCAGCCATACTGCTTCTTTCATAAACAGACATTTCAGCAACAGCTACGCAGTGGTAGGCTGCCGAACTACCTTGTACGAGCTGTACTAGGAATAGCGATACGCTTTTCAGATGATCCATTCTTTGCCGACAAAGATCGCACAGCTGCGGCGCACGCGTCCGCAGCATGGAAAGAGACTTTCAGGCGGATCTTTGACTCTGATGAGGTTTTAGACCACTATGTGGTTCAAGCGGCGACTTTACTCGCGCTGTACGACTTCACAGGTATTTCTGCTCTTTGTTCACAGACAAAGGCAAGGCTGACTGCTTCAGAGTGTAAACATAGAACTGCATGGATCAAAATTGGTGTAGCTGTCAATGTTGCACAGGCTATGCACATGATGACTGAACCGCCCACTGAATTGCCCTTCTCCGCTCAAGAGGAACGTCGTCGCACGTTATGGTCGATCTACCTTTTAGATAAGCTGGCCACTTGTGGCAGACATAGACCATCCTTGTTCCAGGACCAGTCAATTCGTATTCAGCTACCCTGCAGTGACGAAAACTTCCGAACATCCACACCGCAGCAAGTGGTAAGTTTGGAAGGGTTTCTGCGTTTTGTCGACTTCAGAGTCGATCATATGGAGACACTCGCACCAACTGTTGTCGTCGCTTCTCTCTTGAGCCAAGTGGCCAACTACACTTTCCAACGAGACATTACTGGCGATCGGAAGGCGCCGTGGGACCACACATCCGAGTACCAAACCATTTGCTCTCAGCTCGCCCAGTTCGAGACACTCTTTGACTGCTATGGGGACATACAGGCGACGATTCTGAACACACCTCTTCGTCAGTCCGAGCCCAACGTCCCGATCACCGAGTCCACCATCTTGACTTATGTCCTGTATCATCTTTGCTACTGCTTGCTTCAGCATCCGTTTCTGATAAGGCGTCGACTCGAGAGGACTCAATTCAAGATACCCGCCGGTTTTTTGTCTCGCACAATCGTCAGCTGCTTCACACACGCTCAGGAACTCACACGCACTTTGGAGAACGCGGCCCGCGCGCAATACAAAGTGTCAGCAACGTTTTTGAGCTATGCTTCCACTGTAGCAGGCTCAATACACTGTTTGTTCCAGCACTCGCTAGATTGCCTTACTCGCATACAATCCGTGGAAGCTTTACAAAGCAGTATAATGCACATCAGCGGAAAAACCAGATTTTGGAAGACGTCAGGGCGCATGGTATGTGAATACTGGGTATAGCTCTATCGTTAGCTAACAAGATGATATCCGCAGATCGCAAAGCTCACTCAGTTCGCTGTTGATTCGATACGTTGTTCTGACTTGATCGATCCTTCCCTCCAAAGTGTCCCGCTCGAAGTTACCGACATCGATCAACTATACGCACTCTGTGATTACGGCACACTGTCCACGACCAAGGCTTTAAGCTCTACCGATACGGCTGCAACAAACATTGAGTCTGAGGATCTCATAAGTGAGCGAGAACCAAGTCCCAAATTGGATCTTGACGGCTATAGTGGCCACATTGACGGGATTCTACCTCAAATCTTTGGTCCTACAAACACCGGGACTATGATCGACAATTTTTCATTTGCTCTCAGAGATCACGGCGAGAATGAGCAGAACATCAGCGGCACGAATTATGCGTGGCGCTTGTAGTGCTGTACAGAACATTCTACTCTTCATCGAGTTTTACATATATGAAGGTGTCTGGACGGCCTCAATGGAAAATAAGCTACTGCTTTGAGGTAGCAAAGTGAACAAAGAGCGGACATCGAGCGTAAACATGGAGTTGTCGGAAACAGAATATATGTTACACGGGGTTAGGCTATACTTCTCTAGGCTCGGTCCGTACTAAGGCGAGGTAGACTAAAGCGGTAGTCCGTGAGGTATCGTATGGAATGATCAGGTGGAAAAGAGTTATCGTTGTAACCAAA